CCCCAAAACCCCAAAACCCCAAAACCCCAAGGAATTAGAATTTCAAGAAACTGTGAGACGGAAATAAAATTAAGAATAAATTTTAAAAATTTCAAAATGCAAGTTATGTAACAACTCTCAACATCTCATGGAGCGCAGTTTAAACCTGTTGTTCAAGAGGATTTCTATTTGCTCGATCTTGTAGGTGGAGCTTCTCAAACAGCTCTTCATCCAACGAGACCTATAGTTGCTTATAATTCGGGTATAATATTCAAATCTAAATAGAAACTATAGGCTGTATGATCATAGTATATGATTTGATGACAGATTAAAAAATAAATTTAGTGCATCATCAACACGAGGTATTCGCTATTGCATTCTCCCCTCCAGGAGCCGGATCTTCTTAATCTGGTGGAGATTTCTTGATTTCAGTTGATTTCGATAGAAATGACATTAGTGATCCTAATTCGCCATCAAGCAGCACTATTATTCTTTGGAATTGGCAAAAAGGTCAATGCTTACAAGAGATTTAAATCCCTAAATCTTAAAACAATCAGTCATATCTCTATCAACCAGGTCCGATGCAGTCGATATCCTATCTTTCAAGAAATATCTAGATTGCTTTTGAACGAGTAGGGGGGATGTTTGTGGTTCTTGAGTCAGGCTAGTATGGAGCATCTGATTAGGGTTCAGGTTATAGAGGTACACTCTGGAACCTAAATAGACAACAGAGGATTGAGATGCTCAGTTAGATGGAATTAGAGCTTTAGAACGGTTGCTAAGGATTGACAATAATACCAAAATAGGCTTATTAATCAGGATATAACTCCTTTTATCAGTAATCTCTTTCATCATCTTAATAGCCGCTCTAAGGCTAAATGTTGAGATTTTTAACTTTAGAAAAGCAAGCCATAAAAATATGGGAATACTAGAATGGACATGCAGACCTTCTTAAAAGGATTTAGATTAAGTAGAATATGAGATAGTGTCTTGTAGCAGAGCTTACTGGTTACTTATTGATATTAGGAGATAATGGAAAGATCTTGATACTAGATCAAGAAGGTGAATTTATTAGTACAATCAAAAGAGATTTAACATTTTTTACAACTATTAACACAGCACATGATAAGCTACTACTAGGCACAGATAGAGGTACAATCTGTGTCTATCACTTAGCTTCCTTACAATTCATTAGTGAGATCCCTTACTAGCTTGGAGTACTATCTAATTTCTAGCTGAATTCTAGCCCATACATAGATAAATGTAAGAGTATATAGATTTTAAGATTTACTTATAGAAAATAAAGAAGAACCAAGTGTCTTTTAATTAGGACCTCCAGTTCAGCAAGTAGCAACAACCTTAAATATGAGATTCTTGTTTATCAAATATCAAGATCAATCTTTTGTTATCATTGATAGAACAGTGCCTAATCCAAATCAATCAATTTTAGGCTATTAATATGGCCATTTCCAAAAAGTGACAGGCTTGCAATGGATGAGACCATCTCTAACTTCTGGCTCCAAAAAACATAAATTCCCTATCTATGGTGAAAACCTTTCACTCCATCAATAAGCAAATGCGTCATTCGTTACTTGCTCCTAGGATATGAGTATATTTGTTTGGAAGCATTTTGGTGATAGATGGTCTTTCAGCTATATAGATGTAGTAAAAGGATGCTTTGATTAATCCTTGACATATTAGAGAAAGCTAAATGAAAAGAGCACATAAAATCTTGAGCTTACTTCTATTAGAGTTTATCCACGATCACCATTAGTAGCTGTAGGAGATAATAAAGGAATTGTGAGAATTTTTTAGGTAACCTAAGAGAAAGCATTATTTATAGGTAGTCATTAATTGGTAAAGGGTAATGAATAACATTCACTAGCCGATGATTAGATTAAAGATATTTACATCACTCTGGATGAACTTTATGCAATTATATCATTCTAATCAGGCTTAATATGCTGTTATGATGTGAAAAATAGTTACAATCTGATTGGAATTATTGAAAAAGATGCCTAAAGATTTTGTTATTCGAATCAATTGGAAGTTAGAATGAAAGTACTTGAAAGTGAGACTCATTCAATGAGCTACTTCTCACCTAACAGAGCTTAAGATGAAAAGCCCATTTATCTTAACACATCTTTTGAATAAGATTACATTTCACCTGCAAGCGGTGCATTCTCATCAAGCTTTAGAATACTTAGCACAACCTCACCAAACTGTATATAGTTACAATAAATTTAGATCAAGGCAAATAAGCTAATTAAGACTCCTATTTCTTAGTTTATAGTTGATGAGGGTAAAATATCTGGGTTTGATGTTCATCCGAGCAATGATTACCTTTTAGTTACAAGCAATTAAGGGAGAGTCTATATGTTTAGAATTGACACGGGTGAACTTAGAGGAACAATAAGAACTCCGCTACATGCTAAGGAATGCTTGATTGATCCAAGTGGACTGTATTTAATAATATAAGTGCCGCCATTTTCCCCAAAGCATACTTCTAATCTATTAGGGGAAGTAAATGATTTTAACAGTAATCTTTCAACTCATGAAAGAGATCTAGAGAGAACTACTCTATTAATGTTTGAGGTAGGAACTGGAAGAGCTTGTGCTGAGCTAAAGTCGTTATTTGAAGTCACATAGCTTTCATTCTCACCTGATGGTAGATATCTTTCTTTAGGTTCAAGGACAGGAGCAGTATGTGTCTGGGCTTTAGGAGAGCACCTAATCTAAAATGTTAAGCAGGTATTAGACCTAGTTAAAGTACAACCAGATTTCTGGGCTAATTATCCAATATTCCTTGAAGATTATGGTACTTATGGAATGATTTAAACGATTCCTTCATAATAGTTTCCAACTTTAGAGAATAGATAGATTGATAGACCAGAGGATTATGATAATAATATCCATCATATGTCTCCTAATCAGATAAATAGAGGATCTGGCTCTGATGGTTTCCTGTCTTCTCAAAGATAAAATCCTCTCTCAACTTTGAAAAGTGGGTCTAGAACTAATATTGGACAGCAGATTTAAACACATTAAGATCATGGCTTATAAAAGTAATCATTTATTCGGCCTCCGATGAGATAAGATCAATAAATCTAGTCAAACATTCAATATACCTAATCAGAAAGAAAATACTAACCCACTAACCAATTTGATTAGAACTAAAGATAAATTTAAAAGGATATGGCGCAGTAATAATAGCAAAATAAATTCTATAGAAAAACTTTCATGGAAGATTAGTAGACTTAAATGACTCCCCATATCAGTAGCTACCTCTAAAATTAAGACTATAAATAATCAATTCAGCCTTAAAGGAATGTAATTAGCTAGAGGTCAGCTCAGATATAAGCTGGCTCCTCATTTCCAGAATATGGAAATCTAGCCAATGTTTATTAAAACTTCTAAGAATAAAGAAAGTCAAGTCCAATTAAATAAAATCACCATTCACAGTCTTCGTTAATTGATTCACCGAATAAAGCATTAATGCTCTACTAAGATGATTTTCAGCCCAATATAAATACAAGGAATGTAGGTTCTATGGGTAATACAGGTTATTAGAGACATTTGCCACATTAGCTTCTACCCTAAGTGTAGAATCTAAAACAAGAGCCAGATATAAGTAAATCTGGTGGATCTGCATACAAGAGAGGTGGACAAGTAGAGTATATTCCAAGATAAGACTTTATTGATAGAACTCAATAAAATCAAAATGCCCCTGGCTATCTTTAACCTTTGGTAGCACAGAGAAATGTATTCTAGGAAGAAAATCCTATGCAACAGAGAGATTAACCTTTAAGATATGAAGAAAATTTAGATGCAGCAGATTTATACAACCCTTTTCAAAATAATCAAGCTTAAAATGCTCTAGTTAATCTTTATGCCACAGGTAATACAGTTCCAATCAGTAGTATTTAACACTCTCCTTTGAGGCTGAATGCAAGTTATGGAGGATAGAATAATATAGGGGGTAGACTTTAACCAATCAGTAGTGATGAAAAAAGATAAGTAATCAGAGACCCTCTTGACATTGATGATGATATCAGTGATAATGGTCCAGAGAGTCTAGAAAATCAACTAAAGGAACTAGATGGAATGAATAAATATCTATAGAATATCAGAGTTCCAACAAGTAAGTATTTGAAATTCTTATTGATATTAATTTAGGGTTTGCAAATGATGAGTTCTTGACTGTTAATGGCAGAAACGGGGAATAAGCTTACACTCTAGAGAGGTTAAGACAGGAGGAGAGATTGATAAGTATGGATCCACCTGATCATATCATAGAAGAGATATCAAACTCTGCTGGAGCAGGAGGAAGTACATATGACCTAGTTGAAGAGATGTACGAAAATATGGACTAGTTTGATCAGAAAATTAAGAGCAAATACTCTACTAGATAAGGAATGTATTGACTAAAAGATAATGATATTGTTTAATCAAAAGAATTATAATTCCTAAATTTTGATTTAATAATTACTGAGCTAATTTTTATTCTATCTTATGGGGTTTTGGGGTTTTGGGGTTTTGGGG